GACTGTCAGCTGATTTCTTAAAAGAAACTTTGCAGGCCAGAAGGGAGTGGCAAAAAATATTCAGAGTGATGAAAAGCAAGAACCTGCAACCAAGATTACTCTATCCTGTAAAGCTGTCATTTAGAATCGATGGCCATATAAAGAGTTTCCCAAACAAGGAAAAGCTAAAGGAGTTCATCACCACCAAACCATTTGAAGGGTCTTCTTGAAGACAAAGATAAAAAATATGAACAAACAATGGCAATAAATACATATCTATCGACAATGAATCTACAAACAAAATGAACAAGCAGAACAGAAACATTCTCATAGATACAGAGAACATTTTGTTGGTTGCCAGATGGGAGGGGGTTGGGAGAATGGGTGAAAATGGTGAAGGGATTAAGAAGTACAAATTAGTTGTTAGACTGACAAACCTCAAAGGGAAGAGGGGCTTGGGAGGTGGGAAGAAATAAGCCAAAGAACTTATATGTATATATGCATAACCAACGGACACAGACAACAGTGTTAGGAAAGGCAGGAGGGGGGCAGGAGTGGGGAGGAGGGGGTCAATGGGGGAAAAATGAGGAAAATTTGTAATACATTCAACAATAAAAATAAGTTTAAAATATTAAATAAATAAATAAAATTAATAAATGGTTAGCAACATTGTTCTCCATGAGAAAATAATTTTAAAACCAGATTTGAAATGATGCTTGCAGTACTTTCAAAACAAGGCAGAAGTGAAAGAAAGCTTATGAAAAAAATCGATATTTGAAATATCCTTAATGAGTAAAAATATATTCATTTAAAATCCATTTAACTAAGCTTCTTAAGATATCATGCTGTTGCTTTCATTTCAAAAGCAAAGGTTCCAAAGGACTCTATGTTCTCATTGGATGAGCATGCTATCCATACAGTATAGATAGAATCACTTAGATAAGGATGCTTGAAAACAAGATTTCTTAGCTATCCATGTTAAATGTTTTCCTATATTGCCACTAAATACATAAAATAATAAAAGAAACACACCAATGAGAATGTTGACCTTTAATTTAAGAGTAATTTCACTGAATTAAAACTTTCTGTGTTCATGAATTTTGAGCTTTTTACTATAAGATAAATGAGGCAATTTCCACTCTCTCTGTATGTTGCATCTTTGTGAAAAGTGAGCTTCATATCTACTTAGGTTCTTTGGTATTCTTTTTGGGGAGTGTACTACCAATTCATGTTTGGTTTGCTTTCTTTTATGTTTGCTGCCTTAAAATTACTTAGCAGACAAGAGCCAAATCAAGAGTCATGCAAACCAGGAAGAAAAATTCTAGGAAAAATACTTTTCTAGAAATTAAATTACATATTTTAAAGTTTAGTACCTAGCCCGGCTGGCGTGGATCCATGGTTGAGTGTCGACCCCTGCACTAAGAGGTTGCCCGTTCGATTCCTGGTCAGGGCACATGCCCAGGTGTGGGGCAGATCCCCAGTGGGGGGCATGCAGGAGGTGGCCAATCGATGTTCTCTCTCACTGATGTTTCTCTCTCTCCCTTCCTCTCTTTCTAAAATCAATAAAGGAACAAAAAATTTTTAAATAAAATTTAGTACTTAGAGAACTAAATTCTAACTACATTTCATAATGACAAGAATTATTATGTTTTTACTTGAGCAAGTAACTCCAACAGTTTATATTTCCCTAAGGGTACTTAAAAGAAGCAAAATTACTGTTAATAAGACAATGCCTGGTAAATATGAGCTAACTTTTTCATTTTTTTACCTGAACTTCTAGTAGGCAAGCTAACTTTAAATATTAAACTGAAACATGTGGACTTACAATTAATTCATTGAAATAGGTTTTAATATATGAATTAAAATTATAATAGTATGAATAACTTTTTTTGCTAGGACACTCTTCATCATACTTGCAATCACAAAACCTGTCTATGAATACAATAAATAAGACTTTGGTCTGAACATTTCACAGTGGGTTAAATGTCTGGTCTTCTTATTTTTAAAGTCAGAGCTATGTGTTTTCTTTAACAAATTTGAGATTGAATTATTTGGATCATTTTCTAATGTGAGCCGTAAGAATAAATAGGACACATGCTTAAATGTAGTGGGGTTTTTTTTTTCTTCTTTTTGCATTTCTACAACCCAAAGACCAGTTGGGTTGGAAAAAAAAATAAAATTTAACAGCTTTTAATTTGTCATGTGGAATCTGACTCTATGTGCTTTTTACTACCTCCATATATTTATCTAAGTGAAGCATAAAATGGCTGTAATAATGGGGAATTTAAAGCAGCTTTTGCACATGAGCAGTAATGCTAACTAATATGCGGAATAAGCCCTGAATGTAAATTCACAGACTTTCTGTTTCTTGTGTTTACTGAGGTATGTGTCGGTTAGCCGATGTAAGTGCCTCATCATCCTCACTAAGCTATAAAAAACTTTGATGGGGAGAATGGAAAAAATATATATAGGGAGTAATTTATATGCAACCAGAAGCCTTGTATTTATATTTAATTTTCAAACTGCAAGACAATATCCATTAGGTCACAGACCCGCTGAAATGTAAGTCCATAGCCTTTTGCTGGGGTGCTTCCTGGAGAACCTCAGTAGGGCAGAAATAAGTACAATCTACAGTCTCCAGTTCCAATCAATTCACCTCATTGATGTCCCTTGCTATGACCGCCTCTCCTCCATTTCCCTTGAGACTTGGCTTAGACCTTTACTTATATTACATTTGTGCTATTCCAACAACCACATTTCTGTCCACAGTGCCCACTTAATTCATTTCTGCTAGACTTACTGGCCCATCTAACAAAGCTGGCCATGTCACTGTACTGCTGGTAACTGTCTGTCAGCATCCCATTCATCAATAACTTCAAGGCCAGCTCCTGAACTTGGCTTCCATGTTCTGAACACCCCCTTGCTGGTTTGCAGGCAACATTCTGCGAAGTTCTATTGCACTCCCAAAGCACCCAGAAATTGTCACATCTTCCTCCTGTGTGCCTTCTGCTTAGCTATTAGAAAGTCACCTTCTGAAGTGCTCTGGCCTCCCCGAGGTACAAGTAGTTGATGTGTTGAAGTGTTTTCTCACAATATGTTGCTCATATTTCATTGAGAGATTAAATGTTAAGTTATTATATGTGCCCATAACTTTAAACATTCTCAGCTCCCTGTCGATGAAGATAATTGCATTTATATTTGCATCCAAAGCACTGGACACGGTGGAATATGGAAGTGAAGGTTCTCACTGAACATTTGTGCAATGAATGACTGTATGAACAGAGGAATCCGGTGAGGTCTGGAGAAAAGTCCAACACAAAACAATGTTGTTAGCAAACTTGCCGAATGGAGTAAACAGTTCCAAACTCTTATGAAATGTATACTAATTATTATTCTGAGGTTGTCTCGAGACCACCTCCTACAGACCAACATTTTCTTCTCAATATACCAAATGCTAGAAGTTTTCATCATAATGAAAACCATTAGAAAAATATTTTTAATTTTATCTAGCTTTAGCCAGTGTACTGTTCGCAAAAGTATATCTATAAAGTAGATATTTGCACTAATTTTAATATAAACTTGCATATAGGTTCAGGTCCACAGATCTTGGTGTTAAGTGTTTCAATCTGTGTAAGTACTATTATTTATTTTTATATACTCAGATATATGAAATCAGGCCATAACTCAAAGAAAATATTCTCTAGAGCAGAATAAAATCTAGTGAAAGCTATATTGGTGTTCAGATTACTGGTCTAAACATGTTATTAATACAAGAAGAGCTAATGAAAAATTTTTTTATTAAATTAATAAAACCTTGTATGAGGCTAAATATTACTGAATACACCTAGATGAGATTACTTTTATAATTTGTAATGTCACATCAGTGAACTCTATTCAATATAGCATAATAATAAGCACTGTATTAGGTTTTATGTCATTTTCCATAAATAAAATAGGGTTTAATTAAGTAGTGAGATCCTTGCCAAATGTCTTTTTTAATTGTTGAAACATTTTACATTCTGATGTGAAAAGCACATAGCAATATTTTTGTCAAAAATAATAATTTGATGTGAGGGGCATATTTGAATATCATAGCATAATTTCTTTCTGTTTGTCCATATGTGTGAAAACATTATCTCCTTTTACCTATTTCCTTCTCATTGAGGACATGATAACTTATTAGGATATGTATGATTAAAAACTGCATTTTTTCATAAGAATGCATTTTAAATCCAATACTTAATAATATAAAATCTAGTCAACCTTTGTGTAATTCTATTAAATGATTATACATTTAATTAAGTGTCACAGAGAAATAAAGATATCATCAATGGGTCATGGGAGAAAATAAATTTTGAGCATCTTACTTCCAGATTAAATACTGCAATATTTTAAACTACATTTTCTTTGCAACTTCTGTTATATTGATAAAATAATTATCTTTAGTTCTTCTATGCTGTATCATAATTTCCCACTATCGTTCATAAAAAGAGGGCAATATCTTATTGAAATAACTAATGATTATGCCCCCCCAATACTAAAAATTTTAACTTTATGAATAACCACTATTTTTAATATGCTATCCGATTATGCCAATGTTTGTTGAATACATAGCCATCTAGAAAAATCTAGCATTTTAACTTAGTTTCATTTTTTCCCATGAAAAGCTTGTTTTTCCCTCTTTATGAGTGGCTAGTCTAAAATAAAGTTGTCCAAGAACAAGCTAAGACTAATAAGCACTATAATCATATATTAAGAAGTGGGCAACCAATATATAGAAAAGTCAAAGATATACTTGAATCTGTCAGATCAATACATTCTTGTAATTCCCTCAGGGACAATCATACAGTTTGACACCAACATTTAAGCTTTGAAAATTATGTGCCCATCTATTACATTGTGGATGGTACATGTCCTTAAACCTTTTCTATCACTTATAACGCAAGACAGGGCTACCTCGTTTAAAAAATCCTGTCTGTTATTGATCACTGCCTAAGCTGCCTGTTCCTTTCCTTTTTCAGAATGAAGAACAAATTTTGGTATTTTGAGTTTGGCACATCTGAAACTTTCTCAGCCACCTGCAAGAAGCTACATGAATCGGTAGAAATAGAAGTAAGAAAAATTAATTCTCTTTCGTAATACTATCAAATGGCTTCAGCTTGGTTATTCATGTGTTTTGGGTAGTCCGTGGAAGGAGTTTTGTTTTGTGCAGTCCGTATAGTTTATCCATGATTCTAAAATTTCATTTCTGCCACTCATTGGGAATTTAGCATGCTGTGAAATATTAGTACAAAGTTTGAGTATGAGTTATTTGAATATAATATAAGAGAAGGAGAGGTAGAACACAACTTTAGAAACCAATGGAGAAGTTCCTGGGTATAGTGTAGATTTAAAAAAAAAAAAAAAAAGTAAGATTAAAGAAAGTACTTGAAAAGTTGCGAGATATATTAAACACCTTATTATGTTCAGGTCTCAATGTCTTTTAACCTTTAAAACGTGGTTCATAAAAACTATACTTACTTTCATGAATACAGGTTAAAAAGTATACGTTTCCATTCTATTCCCATTCATTAACTAGATTTTTCTCAGTTTCTGGGGTTGCCATTTCCCCCATTACATGTATAGGAAGTGGAAAAGTCACAAGAGAGAGCAAAGACAGCAAGAAAAGATACACTTTGAAAAGATTTGTAGCAAATAGGTCTACCAAAAAATATAGACACTGTAGAACTAAAAGTTTCAGAGCTGGGTTATAATAGAAAATGACTGTGTTTTATTGAGAGATTTTAGGGGTTAAAGAAAAAGGAAAAGCTACATTTTGTTAAATGGTAAAGAAAAACCATAGGAAAAGAATTATGAAACAAGAACATCTCATGATTAGCTGATATGAATTGAGAAATAATGGCTACAACACTTTTCATTTAAAAAATAAATGCCTAACTTGTCTCCTGAGATCAGAATCATTAGTGGCATATGTCCAGGTAATACGTGTAGTAAGCAAAAGTAGTTATGGACCACACAGTATCATAATGGTCTAGCATGGTTCTTCATTGTCCTACCTTTCTATAATTTACTGTTAATAATAAGAACAGCTAAGGTGGTGTTACTTCAGAATGTAACTTTTTGGGGGGCCTTTCATTTCATCATGATTGGTGGATAAATTGAGGGATTAGAAGGAGAATTGGTGGTCATGGAATGGAAAAAGTACTTCATGGCTAAATTAGATCAAACCCTGAAAAGGAATATAATCACAAAAGTAAATGGTTTGGGCTCAACACAGACTTTCTGTGATTACTGTTTATGAAGATATATATATTATTTATATATACATAGTGTTATGTATTTATATTATTGTATTTGTGCATATACACATATATTTATAAAAATACCTAAACCCCCCTTTTCCTTCTGAAATCTTATTTTTTTAATTCTTTATATAGTGGATATTAAACATTTCTTGCCCTCAGAATGCTCAAAAAAAATCTGTAGAAGAAGGAGAAAATGAAAAAATATATATATGTATGTAAGTATGACTTCCGGCTGAATGTAGGGTACATACTCCACCTCTCCTTACCTTATCCTGAACAGACTGAAAAAAGAAGTGATCTAGGAGAGATACTCCATGTACATGCATAGGAAAACTCAATAGCGTCAAGATGTCAGTTCTTCCCAACTGAATCTATATATTTAATACAATCCCAGTCAAAACCCTAGCATTATTTTATAATATTGACAACTGATTCTAATGTTTATGTGGAGAATTAAAAGACCCAGAGTAACCAGCAATGTTGAAGGAAAACAGAACTGGAGTACTGATACTACCTAACTTCAAGACTTAGTATAAAGCTACAATACTCAAAACAGTGTGATATTGGTGAAGAAATAGACAAAGAAATCAATGGAACAGAAAAGAGATCCCAGAAATACATCCCATACATACAGTTAATTGATCTTTGACAACAGAGGAAAGGCAATACAATGGAACAAAAAAAGGGCTTTTTAACATGGTTTTATATCAACTGGACATCCACAAGCAAAAGGTAAAAAAAAAAAAAAATCTAGACATAGACCTTCACTCTTAACAAAAATTAACTCAAAATTGATCAACAGACCTAAAGGTAAAATGTAAACTTGTAAGACTTCTAGAAGAAAACATAGGAAAATAACCAGATGGCTTTGGATATGGTGATGTCTTTTTAGATACAGTCCAGATATGAGGAAATGATTTATGAGCTGGACTTTGCTCTGTGAAAGACAATGTCAAGAGAATGAGCTAAGCCACAGATGGAGAGAAAATATTTGCACAAGACATGTCTGATCCAAGAGATACAAAGAACTCTTAAAACTCAACAATAAGAAAATAAACAACCCCATTGAAAAATAAGACAAAGATTTTAACAGACACCTTGCCAGAAAAAAATTAACAAAGGGCAAAGAAAAACAGACACCTCACCAAAAAAGATAAAGGGCAAAGAAATGATGCTCCAATGCAAATTAAAACAATGAGATACTACTGCCCACCTGTTAGAAGACGGAAAACATCAAATGCAGCTGAGGATGTGGAGAAACAGGAACTCTCATTCATTTCTTGTGGGAATGCAAAATGTAGAGCTACTTTGGAAGACAGTTTGACACTTCATTACAAAACTAAATATACTCTTACCATACAATCCATCAATCATGCTCCTTAGAGTTGAAAACTGATATCCATGCAAAAACCTGTACCTGGATATTTATAACAACTTAATTAATACTATTTTCCAAACTTGGAAGCAAGCAAGAGGTTCTTCAATAGCTGAATGGATAAATGCATTCACACGATTAATTATATGTGTCACAAGATGAAAAAATGCTCAAGAAAATGGTTTATATCATTTACCAAAAGACATTCATATGAAAATCAATGTGGAAAACATTGGTTTTCAAGTTAATAAACCATGAGATTAGTGATTTCCATAGTATAAAATTGTTGTGCCTTACATCTTATAGAAAAATCTGTTTAGAATGTTCCCCCAAGGAATCTGGACAACTGGAACTAAGTATTCTTCTTAGGCTGGTATTTCTACCTGCCCTCCAACTTTGACTTACCACCTCTGCAATTACTGGCTTGTTCTGGAAACCACTGCAATAACATTTATACATTCAAACCTACACTGTGCACTTTCCATTCTAGTGTTGCATGTCTTGAAATACTGTTGTAACTTTATATACTTATCTCAATTCTAAAATTCAGACTGTGTGTGTGTGTGTGTGTGTGTGTGTGTGTATGGATGGTAATATAAAATCTGCTTTTTGACTTTTTAATGAATCCAGTCTATCATATTAGCAGAATGCACCTTGCTACCCTCAAGGTTACTTCATAATTAAATACAGTGATACCTCGGTTCTCGAACATAATTCGTTCCAGGAGGACGGTCGAGAACCGAATTGTTCGAGAACCGAAGCAATGAAACCCAATAGGAAAGCGTGACTCCACAAAGCGTGACTCTCTCTCTGCACTCACACTGATGACGCAAGCAAGGCGCGCTGGGCCGAATGAACGCCATTCGGCTCAACTCGGCTCAACTCGGAAGTTCGAGTTCCAAATATTTGTTCGGATTCCGAGACAAAAGTTTCTCGAATCTCCTGGTCGAATACCGATTGGTCGAAAACCGAGGCGTTCGAGAACCGAGGTATCACTGTATAACAAAAACAGTGATTTGGAAATTTGATTCTGTTCCCTTTTGCTTTTTATTTGGCCTAAAATTTTACTGACTATGATTTGAAAATATATACCAGAGAATAAAACCACTTCAGGACAAGAGTACCTCATGTAATGGGTATATGTATTTTGTAATCAGTTTCTTCAAAACAAAGCATTTACTGCATGACCCTTCATTTCTCATTTCTCTTTGATACAGAAAGTTGTTTTTTTCCAAAGAGGGTGAACATTTGGAATAATATGAATATTATTGTTAATAGTTTATAATGACAGATCTAAGGTTTATCTATTATTAAATATACCACATGCTTCATGCTAACCAATGTACATACGTTATTTGATTTAATCTCCCTCAAAATCCTATGAATTAGAGAAATTTTGTCTCCATTGAGCAGATGAACATTTTCTTTAATAATATAAGAAAAATAAGAATTCTGTTGCTGCCAAAATGTTTAAATCTAAGGAAACAAATATATTGAAGGTTTTATATGTGTGTGTGTGTGTATGTGTGTATAAATTGATGATATATATGGTGAGAGAGATTAAGAAAGTTGAAATTGTTAATTTAAAGAATATTAGTTATCTTCTAATTTTTTTACAAAAGACAAAGAAATGAAAATTTTTAAATTTTTAATACAATATATTAAAAGCAAAGTTTGTATTAAACTATTTGGGACATGTACCTAAGGGTCTCAGGTCAACGTTTGTCATCAAAACTACAAAGTTTATGGGTTTTAATTTGCTGCATATACCAGGCAAAGTTATTGGAGAATAACATAGCCCATTCTCCGAAGTAGTTCAGTCTTTTGGTTGTCAGTGAGAATAGAAAGGATGGTAAGTGTTAAGGCAAAGAATTTTCATCCCCAAATACTGAGATTTGTCTGAAAGATTATGCATGTCTATAAAAACGTCAATGATCTCAAGAATTAATCAACAGCCCTGGCTGATGTGGCTCAGTTGATTGAGCATCATCAACAGCACCAAAAGGTCGGGAGTTCAATTCCCCACCAGGGCACATGCCCGAGTTGTGGGCTTGATCCCCACTAGGGGCACTGAAGGGTTGCCTCCTGCGTAACCCCTAGTGGGGATCAAGCCAGAGGCAACCCATCAGTGTTTCCCTCTTTCTCTCCCTTCCTCTCTCTAAAAACAATAAAAACATATTGTTTTTAAAAAATTAATAAACAGCAATAACAATGTCAGGGACACAAAATAGATTAGCAAAATTCGAAGGATAAGATTATCATCGCCTGCCCAGAGTGGAAAGCACAGAGTGCTTAAAGGCAGTAGGCTCGAGTTTCTCAGGTTCGTCTCTGCCCACCTGCATCAAGGTGATCCTGGTTGCTCTTCCAACATGTGCTCCGCGGGCCCTCATCTGGTCTCAGCCCTACCAAAGCGCAGTCTACAGTCTCGGGTA